AAATAAACTACTACTTACTACTTGTACTACTATTCATACTTCACGGTTTTTCACTTATCGCTGGTCTTCAGGGTATGGATCCCCAGTGATAAACGAGGGACTACTGTACACCATTTCATGCGGTTTCATGCTTAAAGTATTTTTTGGAGTGACTCTTAGCTACTACCACGTAAAGTTTAAGCTAAATTTCTGCAAAACTGTCTGACTTATGGCTGTTTTTGTGTTAGTTACAGTGAAGATGCTGTGGCGTCCACCAACTCCTAGGCATGGATAAAAACTCCATCATTTGTCTACAAACATCCAAATGTTCTCAGAAAATCCTGCCTTTTTGAGTTTGTGGTTAAATAACCTGAGATCAGCCAAGTCCTGCTGAAAAAAACTAAGTCAAATCTAAAACGTAGACGTTTTTAAACTTTATTCTTAATTCCTGAAGCTGTCTGTGGTCGCTCACCATAGCAGAAAGGGTTCGTCGGGTTAAAGTTGATGGCAAACTCGTGTGAAACCTGCAAAGACCAGAAGACATTCTTTTATTCTGAAAATGTAAACTATTGTCAGTTTCTCCCACACCTCCCCCCGTCTTTCTGCGTTCAGCTTCTTTGTCCTTTTCATCCGCTCGGCGCCATGGTAACAGATGGGTTGACAGTTGTGTAATCATCTGAATATGCATGTATAATGACACAGTTTTAGTTGTGTTTGTAAAGAACGTCCACAGGTCACGCATACTGTAAGTTTGTAAATATTAACCCACCCTGGTGTTTATTTTTAATCACAGCTCACAAACAACAACATCAGCACCGACGCGTGCGTACCTTCCAGTCTGGTGGGAGTTGGGCTCCGAATCCGAGAGCAGGAAACATTTTGTCGCTGAGGAGGAAACCATGACAACAGATTGAAATATTGGGTTTTTTTGCCATTCAAAGGCAGCAAACGTTGGATTTAAACAGCTGAGCAAATCCTGTTGCCTTGTTCTCACAGAAACACACTCAGAGGTTTACAGAGACGAGAGCAGAGAAAATAATAACAGAAAAATTCATGAGGTAATATTTGAAGTGATACCTGAAAAGATGTGAAAATGTATTAATCAGATAATGAAAACAGGGGATAATACAGATAACTTATTTCATGCTGATCCAAACTGATGCTTAACGTGTTGATTTAAACAAATTATTTTAATAAATAATGTAATAAAGACACATGCTAGGGAGGTCTTTTCTAAAATTTTCAGCTTCTGACTCAACAAAAAAGTTTGTCACCTTAAATTCTCGCTGATTAAAGAACACAAACATCACAACAATAATTTGTTTATGATTAGATTTTTATCTGTAACAATCCAAAACAAGCTATTTATTATAAATTCAGCAGATCCCGAGTTCCTAAAGTGGGTTTCTGCACTAACAGGAGCTGATAAACGCTTTTGTTTCTGTCTGCAAGCACACTGTTGACTGCAACGCTGAAATGAATGAATGAATGAACAAATGAATGAATTTAGCAGTTACGAATGTTGAATGGAATATAGAATGACAAGAGGAACTTCCACAAAAATAAAAATAAACTACATTTTTACAAAAACAAAGGCTGTCGTGGCAGCAAAACAATAAAAAAAATTAAATACAAGAGAGAGACATAAGGAGGAGGATGTGTAAGAGCACACAACGCTCAACGGGTGAGGGAGGTGAAGCTGAGGGACTGAACAGACTGAACTGATGAGTGGAGTGGAGACACCTGGGCTAACTGAGAGCAGGTGTAGGTGGGTGTGGCAGGATTGGGAAACAGAGACCAGCAGTGGAAAATTACTGATAACAGCTGGAAACGGGGGGAGGCAAAAAAAACAATAATAATAAAAATACAACTCAAAACAGACAAGCGCTATGCCGATGGGAGATGTACATCCAAAGATTACATTTGGTGAGTTTTATTCAAATCTGTCCTGTGGTTTCTGAAATTTTGCCACTGCGTAGCAAACATACAATGACAATAACATATGATTCTATTTTGTTCTATTTTATTCTATAGTGACATGGTCTGTGTCTATTTTTGTAAGTGCTATACAATGAATATCATCTGCTACCAGTTATGCCCATGATTATAACTGTAGCGCTGAACAACGAACAAAGAAGCTGTTGTTACTCACGTATCGTAGTCCTGTATGATCTGGCCCACAGCCAAAATGGCCGACAAGTACTCATTGCTGCCCAGAGGGTTGATGTAGTGGAGGGAGGATGGTTCTCGGGGGTTCCCGTTAGATGCCGTGAAGTCGATACCGACCTGTAAGAACACAGAGATGGATCAGAGGACGTCTTAGTGATGTGGTGTGTTGGTGCCATGTTTTTAAATTGTTGTTTTTAATTGAATGAACTCATAAATAGGCAGAAATCCTGTGGACATAAAATGAAATTTGGACTTTTTAAACATAATATTGTTTGTTTTAAATAAACTAAAAGTGTCACAAAGAGAGAGCTGCTGGATTGAAGAAAAGTGACTTTTGAAGAAAGTTCTTGCATCAGACTATTTACATTTGGTGTCTGTCAAGATGGGTACAAAGTGGTGGCAAGGTGGGTACAAAGTGATGAGAAAGTGGGTAAAAGGTGGTGAGAAGGGGAGTACAAGGTGGTGAGAAGGTGGGTACAAAGTGGTAAGAAGGTGGTACAAGGTGGTGACAAGGTGGGTACAAGGTGGTGACAAGATGGGTACGAAGTGGTGAGAAGGTGGGTACAAAGTGATGAGAAAGTGGGTAAAAGGTGGTGAGAAG